AAACAAACTTTCATTTACTGTGGCAAAAGATTTAGTGGGCAAAATATAGAAACAGATTTTATGTATCCTTTTTAGGGAAATGTAGTGTTGGAAAAAATTGCTAACAAGGGATTAGGATGTGCAGAATATATATTCTACAAATATTAGATGCCAACTTAATTATGTATGTAAGAGAAGCAAAGACAAAAATAACTTGCTTGCACAATGCCCAGAAATGAGAAACCCTAGGGACAAGAAATTCTTAAGCCCTATCCTATTCAATCAGCTGAACTCCATTAATTCTATAGATTTAACTAAGTAATGGGGAATTGTCAGATCTGTAGAACTCTGGGCCCCTGATACTCTCATAGATTTAATAGAATGTTCAGGTTCAATATAAGATGCTAGACAAGTTAAAACTAGAAGTTGTTTTATTCTAGAATAGCTATCCTGATACATTTTGGGGCAGCAAAAATGTAGATGACCATTAGCTGGGAGAAAAGAGGTACAGAAGCCTGTACTTCTTTTCTACTACTTATGATAGCTAAAGTGGAGGGACAAAAGTATTTTAATTCAGTGACAATGAGGAGCATATTAATGTATTTGCTTGATTAATACAGTGCTTAATTAACACTTGAAGGAAAGCTAATAGCCAAGTTTAATGAAATTTTCCTTTAACATGAAGGTTTTTTTAAAAATACTTAAAGCACCAGTGGAAAGAGATAATAATAAGTGGATGTGATGTGGAATGTTCTTCTCTATATAAGTTCTCTTATATTTAACATTTTAAGCAACATATTTTCTTACCCAAGTAAGATATCAGTTCTTGCTGCCTTGATTGCATTATGTCCTGCCAAGGAAATCCTTGCAAAATATAAAGAAAATGCATCCTTGAGTGAGAGAGTTGCATGAATTCCAGCTGCCTTGAAGGTGGTAGTATGCCCCCTCTTCAAGAAGGCCTCACTCAGCCCAGTAATATCAGATAACTATAGGCTAGTGTCCAATCTCCTCTTTATGAGGAAGGTTATTAAAAAGATGGTGGGACTGCAATTGTGAATAGAGCAAAGAAATTATTTGGACCGTGTGAGAGAACAGATTCCATCTGTTTTCACCAAAGTCATTATACTAGGACTGCATGTCCTATGTCATGTAAACAAGCATCTTTCTAGGAGATGGAACCAAGAAACATTAAATAGGAAGAGTTAAGAACTAGCAGAGCTGGAGCGCTGTTGGTAAGAGTGTCATAATGGTGAATTGGAGATGGTTAAAGAGAGAAAAAGAAAAGGAAGAAAAGGAGAAGAAAAACAGAAGTCACACAGAAAGTAAGCACCTCAAGGCTCAGAAGACAATTCCTGGAGAAAGAAGACAAAGTGCTGAGCTGAGGAAGGGAGAGTGCTGGTGGAAATATGGATATGTATAGGTAACAAGTATGGAGAAGCTGTTAATCAATCCAGCAACCCAGCAGACTGAACACCTCAGAAGTTCCAGGCAAAGCTGAGAGAGAAGAAGATTGACAATCTTGTCATTTTGCCAGGTCTTTGTTATTCAGAATCCATTAAGAGTAGTGATGGCTGCTAGTGCAGAAAAAGGAAAAGGTGGGAAGCAGCTATGTGGAATCCATGAGGGTTAGGATAAGACACCCAGAGTCAATTATGACTGAAGAGGCATATAAGCTTAGTAAGTAAAATGATAAAATCCTAGCTTTAAGAGGGTTGAGAAAGATTCTTCTTGATTGGTGGATAGTAAGAAAAGACAATCATCCTTTCTGTGTAGCCAAATAAATATTGAAATAATTTCATTACTCCCTTGTAATGCTGATTACTGCATCTAGCTATCTTGTGATACAACTCTAGATGCTCTCTGCATTCTGTGAATTCTGTACCTCAGAATAAGTGATACATATTAAACTATTTTTGTTTTTACAGTTGGCATAATCCTTCATTAATTTACCATAATTTGAGCTGAAGTCTGAGTGGTTATTCTAACAAATCCAACAAAGATTTATTCACCCACTGCCCATCTCTGTGAAAACACCTACCTGTGTTCACCTAGTTACCTAACAGGGGATGAAAGGAGAGCAGACAATTAGTCCATTAGTGGAGGTTTTTGCTTCAAATGCTACCTCATTTCCAGGCACTTATTTATTTACATGAATTTACACAACATCCAGCTCTCAAGATTCTAAGATGTTTATAATAAGATTAAAAGCAAAATATATATAAATCAGATATCAACATTAAAAAACCGGTGACTCAAATACCATGTAGTCATAACAGTACTAAAATTAACCCCCCAAATGCCTGCTGGAATAAAGCTATTTTCATTGCTCTATGGAATCCAAATAAGGTGGGTATCTAGTGTATCTCTAATGGTAAGGTGCTGTATAACCAGAGAGCTGTGATACAAAAAGATGGCCTTAGGCTCATTGTCCCTTTGCTTTCTCATAGGGACAGCTCCCTAAGCATCCCCTTCCTGCTTGTGCCCAGGTTGGGCAGATTCCTGTAAGGATTCCCAGTCCCTAATGTAGGGGGAGATGGGTGGAGAGAGAGAGAGAGAGAGAGAGAGAGAGAAATCAATCAATCAATCAATCAATCAATCAATCAATCAATCCTCTAACTGAGATATATAAGTCTTTATAAGCCAAAAACAGCATTTTGAATTGGACTCACTCAGTGAAGAATTGGTGTTATATTGCAGTAGGGGTTCTCACACACTAACATTTGTACCAACTGAAATTTCTGGGGCATCATAAGAGGCAGTCTCATGCAGAGCACATTACAAAGCCTAAGCATGTAAGTGATAAGGGCATGAATCACTGTTGGCAGATAGGGCTGCAACTGGCACAGCTGGGCAAAGGCCTCTCTGGCCATGGCTTCCATTTACTGTTACAGTAGGAGCCATAAGTCCAGAAAGACCTCCAAAATTCAGAACTTTTCCTTCAAAGGGAGGGTAACTTTGTCCAGAGCAATCACCAGGACCATCAAAGAGCCCTGACTATTTTTGTGTTGCTGAGATTCAGACTAAATTTGTTTTGGCCCATCGAGACCTACACAATCTCAAGACACCAGATCAGGATTTCCACAGCATTTCTGGTATGGCTTGAGGTAGTAAGGTATAATAGAATATCATGATTATCTTTCCATATTGAGAAACAACTTCTCCCAGTGGCTTCACATATAAGTTAAAAGCAATGGGGGAAAACTGAACCCTGGAGTATCCCACATTTGACTAAATGTAGTCTACGATTACTCACCCTTATTATCACTGACTGATTTCACTGAGGCAGGAGTGGAAGCACTGTAAAAAAAAGGGTCCTAGATCCCCACCCTCTGCAGGAGATCCAATATGAGATCATGCTTAACAGTAGCAAACGCTATAGAAAGGTATAAAATAACACTCCCAACTTCCAGGTCTTTGTACAAGTCTTCCATTAGAGTAACCAGTGCTGTTTCTATTCCACACCCAAGCTTGGTTCAAGACCAAAAAGTATCTATTTAACTGCTTTATCTAAGATCTTGGCAGTATTCCCCACTATCTTGCACAGAAAGGAAAAATTCAGTATTGGACAGAAGTTGTCAAGTATGACCAGAGATGGTTAAGAGAAGGCATACTTCTGCCTGTTTCAAGGACAATGGCACTTCTCTGTCTTTGAAAAAGCATTTGCCATCTCTTAGATCTAGCCACTCATATCTCCCCAACAGTGAAGGAACCAGGAGGAGCATGGATTTAGCCTGCAGAATGGCAGGGCTCGTTCTGCAAAGGATTCTATTCACTTCCTCAACCTTTTCAAGTTCATATAAATCCCAGATAATATCTTAAGATATTATTCCATTCATCACACTAGACTGTCCAATCTAACTCTGAATGAAAGTGAGAAATTTTATCCAAGAAAGAGGAGGAGGAGGAGCAGCAGCAGCAGCAGCAGCAGCAATCCCAGATCCTTGGGAAGGACTCAATAGGTGGATAAAAATGCCAAATCCAGTCTTAGCATCTGGCTGACTGTGTGACTAATAGTAATAATAGGCAGACATGTCACACTGGACAGCAACAGCATTGTCCTAACCACTCCTTCCCAATAGGAACTGAGTTACTCTGAACAAGACTGCTGGATACCACTCTATGACACAATTAACAGCAGACTACCGTGTTGCTACAGGGTAGGCCCAAACATGGGCTCATATCATATTTACTCTTTATTTCCCACCACCTTTATTCTAGAGATCTCTTCATTCTTTTCATTTCCCAGAGATAAACCAATGGACACCCCAGTATTGGCAGCACTCTTGTCACTTCTTTATTCTAACAGTCAACTAGAACTGCCCACCAGGTTGTAGGGAAAATTTCCAAGCACCCTCAGGAAGCCTTCTGGATCCATCAGGCACCTAGGGCAGAGCATCCAAATAAGTCTACCACCTTTGCAAAGATGGTAAAAATGTAAAGCTTGTACTATAATCGCTTCATACCTCTGAGGAATTTTCCCAGCTGCTACAACAAGAAGAGAATATGTCCAACTGATCTACTTTACAAGGCAGCTGGCATATCAGGGAGGTAAATTCTCTTTTCTGAATGGGGAAAAACCTTTTGTTGTTTGCACTGGGGTGAAATCTTCTGTTGGTAGATTATGCAATTTTCTTTTAA